ACAACTGACAAGCATTTTACCATTTTATACTATTTAGAATACTTCCCTACGTATTACAGTGTACTGTTGCTGGCAGTATGTCATCATGATTTCACATATTTTCTGTGGTCTTCAAGCTCCAACAAAATGACCAAGTTTCACAGCGTGTCTTTAAGGCTGAGTCAAGTTACCCAACACAGGAAACTCCTTTCAACTGCTTATTTCCACTATTTGTTTTTTTTATTATGATCCACATCTCATGACCAAAGGTAAGGGCTGACGGAATGAAATCCTAAATTCAAGTGGCAATGTTTTTGTTTCATTTTTTTTTCATAGAGCCGCAGGGCTCAGCCTTAAAGAAAAGATGTGAAGTTTGGTAGAGCTCAGAGTAGAGCTGCTACTCAAACAGAGCCAGCTAAAGTTATTTGTGCATCTGATTAAGATGCCTCCTGGTTGACTCGCTTGGTGTTTCAAGGTCTTTCAAGCATGCCTTCCTGGGAGGAGATCCCTTGACCTGCTGCCTCAGCAGTCTTACCTTGTATTAAAAGTTGATGACTGATAGATGGATGGGTGGTTAGGTGAATACAGAAGTAGCATTGAAACATCAAAGATATAGCCACTATGCATGTTCTGTTAAGATTCCTTGAAATTTCACTTTGCTGAAATGTAACTAGAGGCCAAAAGAAGCAAGATTTTATTTGAAAAGAACTGTTGGTATGTGAAATAGAATTATTGTAGAACAAAACTTAAAGTAAATGTGATTATACATCTACCACCTTGGTTGGATTGTTCTCTCTCAGTTAACTCACTGAAGGCATATCGTCATCAATTGTATTACCAGGCTTTCTCAGATACTCTCATAACCCATTTCCCCAACACACAACAGGACTGTTCATCATAGTTAAGCTTTCAGCTTCGAACAAAATCCATCAACTCTTTTCCACAAGTTCCCTTGAAACCATCATTTAAAACCCTGTCAATCTTGAGAACGAGTTGTGTTTGAGTTTTGAAAAGCCTTGGTGCCCAAATATTAGGGGTGCACTTTGGGTGCTGCCAAGATTTTTGACAGTGTTAATGACAGAGTAAAAGGGAGGGAGCTGCCAGCTAATTTGGGTAAAGGCGTATTCTAATAAGACAGAATAAAAGCAGGCTGTGCTAACTCTTGTCATGTGTGAAGACATTTGATGTCTCAGAAAGCCCAGATACTATTGCTCTGATTTATTTCTGATCTTTGCTAGCAAGAAAATAAAAAATCTTCATGCCCAGTAGACTCCAAGAGCCAAGGCACAGTAACATTAACTTCATAAAGATAGCTATGCCAACTTTTTGGAGTTGTGACAGGGTACAACATTATCTTTATGGATATTTTTGTTCATTTCTTGTTCAAGTTGCTCGAAGTTGTTCTAACACATGCAATAGTGATCTACCAATAATCAATGCTCAGGCTAAATCAAATGGAAAATATTGCAGAATTGGGCAGTTCAGGTTAAAAAGTGAAGCATTCATTGTTCATAATTTATAATATGGTATATTTAGTAGATTGTGATACAGTCCATTTTAAGGAGGTTGCAGGTCCTTCCTGCTACTGGCAATTATCTCTAAATAAACTCATCTACAATTATAAAGTCATCTCATACATTTTTTGTCACATCAGCATTTTGCATGTTTTCACTGTCTGATTTATTGTCTTTTAACAAAAAGATTTTTTCAATATGGGTTGGCAAATGACATTCATGTCTTTCCATTGCCTCTCTTGCAGATTAAAAAAAGACATATTTGATGTGCTACCTCAGTCATGCATGAAGTGCTGAAATTGCAAGTCTAAATTCCATTAGTGGTCTTGTCTACTTTCATTTTGTCAGCCATGACTGTCATTATCTATCTATCTATCTATCTATCTATCTATCTATCTATCTATCTATCTATCTATCTATCTATCTATCTATCTATCTATCTATCTATCTATCTATCTATCTATCTATCTATCTATCTATCTATCTATCTATCTATCTATCTATCTATCTATCTATCTATCTATCTATCTATCTATCTATCTCTCTT